CTGTCTGTCTCCCTCTCTCTGTAATTCTTTCAAATAAGCAAACAAATCTTAAAAAGAATTCTGTACTGGTCACCTTTGGCTGCAGCTGAGAGATTATTAGCACACATTAGGCATTTAACTTGTTGATATGAACTAATGACCAAGAATTGACTTTTGACTATAGGGTTAAGTGCATATTCTGGAATGAGAAGGTCTTGGGATCTAAATCCTTGATTTTCCACTCACTAGCTCTATGACCTTCTGTGGTGGAATGAGAAGGCCATGCCAAGATGGCCGCTGGCAAGCGAGCATCAGTTACTCAGGAATGGCTTTGAAACCCACCTGGCAACGGAGCCTGCCTGGCAACAGGCTGTGATTGGATGGCTTTGGAAACTGCCTGGCAACAGGCTGTGATTGGTTGGGGCATAGACCGGATTGGCTGGTCTTGGCTACATAAGCTGTTGTACCAAATGAAATAAAGGAGTCTGTAGGCTGCTTGCCTCAAGCCCGCTTTTCACCTGACTCCTGGTGTGGTAACTCCCTGCCTCTTGCCCCCACCATGCTCCTCCTCTCAGAAAGGAATCCACTGCAACGTTGTTAAGAAATCAACTGCAACAAACTTCCATGGGTCAATGACTCTGAACGTCATTTTCTTTACTTATGAAATGAGAAAAATAGTAGAGAATTTCACATATTGTGAGGATTACATGTGATAACTCATGGAAAACATTTACAGTGCCTGGTGCATATTAAGTCTGCCATATATTTTAATGACAGTTTTCTTTCCACTTCCACCTGTATCTTTATTTTTTTTTTCCTTTAGTCTGCTTTTTCCCTGTCTTTTTTACTTGTGTTCTAACTGTCCCTTTTTCTTTTACACCTTTTTTTTTTTTAAGATTTATTTATCTATTTGAAAGAGTTACAGAGAGAGAGAAAGAGAGAGAAAGAGAGAGAGAGGGAGAGAGAGTTTATCTTTCATCTGCTGGTTCACTCCCCAAATGACTACAAAGGCTGCAGCCGGGCCAGGCCAAAGCCAGGAGCCAGGAGTTTCATTTGGGTCTCCCACATGGATGCAGGGACCCGAGCACTTGGGCCTTCTTCCATTGCTCTCCAAGGCACATCAGTAGTGAGCTGGATAAAAAGCAGAGCATCCAGGACTCCAACTGGCACCCATATGTGATGCCACAATGCCGGCCCCTAAACTGCAGATTTACAAAAGTAATTTTACTGCTTCCTACCTCAATACCCCTGCTCATAATTCTGCTGTAAAACTCTAGAAACTTTCTTTTCACAAATTACAGCATATTTATTTAACAGTGTTTTAAAAATCTTTTATTATTTTACTTTATATAAATCTTGGCTTCATACAGTAGCAACAAATAGAAATGAATCATACATTTTAACAGATCCATACTTTTCAATTGAATGGATGTGCTATAGTTTACTTCATATCCTACTGATGGACATTTATTTGTTTCCAATTTTTTTTTCTCATTGTGAGAAAGGGAGGATTGTATATTTGGAATAAACTTTTATTTCCAATATGTTATTGGCTAATTTGTTTTCCCCCAATTTTTATTTTAAAGCCCTAACCCCCAGTACCTCAGAATGTAACTCCTTTGGAGATGAGATTTTAAAGAGCTTGAGTACCTAAAAATGACGTGGTTGGGAGAGGGCTAATCTGATTTGACTGGTGTCTTAAAATAGGAGGGTAGCACATACAGAGACATCAGACACACACACACACACACATACACACACACAGATAAAAGGCCACGTGTGGGCACTCTGAGAAGGCAGCCAACTGCAGGCCAAGGAGAGTGGTCTCAGAAGAAAAATATATAACATATGCACACATGTAGGTATATATATTTTATTCACTAAAGTTCACTTACCCATAAAGTGTACTAAAGGAAAAAAAAAAAAGTAGCATTGGGCCACTGCATTTCAACTCACTGTCTTTCTTTTAAAATACTATGATCCACACTAAAAGCTTTACCTCTAAGTCAATTTAGACTGCCCAGAGCAGTTGTTGATTGGCTATTTTGAATGACAATGAGGTTCAGCTGGTACAAAATTAGGATTGTTTCTGTTTTGCAACTGCAAATTTTTTTCATTGCTTATTTTCACCAGGAAACCCCTAGTGGGTAAAGGGCTGTCAGAGCCTCAGTTAACAATGCCTGAGAATTGACCTTCCCTGACTAATAACCCCAGAGTCTGCAAAACTATGGTTGGAAAATATTACAGAAGAGGCCTCGTGTCCTCGTATCTTGGTTACCAGAGAATGACTTGACTTTTCCAGAGAGTGAGAGTAGGAAGAGTCTAGAGAGCGATCAGAAGTTGCAGGCACTGTTTTCATTTGAGTCATCTAGTCTCCTTGTAGAGGCCACCACCTAGCAGGTTGGTAGAATTCCAGTGCTGTCATATAACCAAAGGCATCATACGGAGAGGTGATTAGACCAACAATCCCCACCCCCCACCCCCGCTTTTTTTTTTTTTACAGGCAGAGTGGACAGTGAGAGAGAGAGACAGAGAGAAAGGTCTTCCTTTGCCGTTGGTTCACCCTCCAATGGCCGCCGCGAAGGCAGGAGCCAGGTGCTTCTCCTGGTCTCCCATGGGGTGCAGGGCCCAAGCACTTGGGCCATCCTCCACTGCACTCCCGGGCCACAGCAGAGAGCTGGCCGGGACAGAATCCGGCGCCTCGACCGGGACTAGAACCTGGTGTGCCGGCGCCTCAAGGTGGAGGATTAGCCTAGTGAGCCGCGGCACCGGCAGACCAACAATCTTTATCTTAAACACAGTTTCTAGCTGCAGTTGTTCTAGCAACCTACAGTAAAGATATTACATTGATTAATGTCTTCTCTCTAGGGCTAAAGTTTAATATAAGTCAATCATTTATTCTGGATATATAAGGTGATTAATTGCCACATTATTCAGCATTTGGAGCTAACGTTAACAGCTTCTTAGAAGGAAAAAATAACCAACAAGTCTTATTTTTATCATTTTATTTCTTTCATTTTGTCATCTTAAATTCCCGGAAATGGTCAGAGTCCAACGTGGCTGGTAATACTATTCAACTTCAGATACTATACAGCTTCAGATCTGGGTGAAGGTGAACATTTGTGCATGGAGTTTTTTGTTGTAAAGCACTTATTTAAAAAAAAAATGTCCCTGGTTTTACGTAGATGAGTGAATAATACAGACAGAAGTGAATGGGAATTACAGCAAGGTGATTTAAAAGTTAAAATGAGGATATTACAGAATACCATGAAAATAGGTCATGAAATACTTAACAAATATTTATTGAGTTCCACCTGTATGATAGGCAGTATTCTAAGTGCTGAGGATAAAACAAAGGGCCCGTTCTTATGAAGCTCGTTTCCCTGTGACTGGTTCACTAGAGGTGTGGTTCTACATTCCAAGATAGCTGGGTTAAAAGATCAGAATGAAGTAAAGAAACAGAAGGCAAATAAGGAAATGTCTTCTGGCAGATATTAAAAAATACAGAGGCAGAGCCTTAGTGAAAGTGCAGGAAAAAAAAAAGACGATGGAAAATAGAGGGAGGAGGGCTTCATGCATTTTCTTAACTGCATATAAGCTATTTCTGTGTCCCTCCTAAGGAAGTGCCTGGGAGGGTATTAGAACCAGATTCAGAAGGCCAGGTTATTTGCAAACTAATTTGTAGGGCCTTGGGCAATTAGCACAAGGTCTTCAAGACTCCATTTCATATAGGTGTACCTGTTTTAGAATTAATAGCTCACAGATTGTACTTATTATGGGCTTACAAAGTGCTATTGTTAAGTATTTCAAATATACGAACTTACTCGTTATAAAAATCCTGATGTAGGTATTATCGTCTCCATTTTATAGAGGAAAAAACTGAGGTAGAGAGAGGTCACAAAGCTTGTCGAGGGTTGTACAACGGGCCCCTGGCAAAACCAGGAATCTAACTTCACCTCCAGAGTGTTTTTAACCACCGCCCACACGGCCTGTCGGTAAATGTCAGTCGAAAGAAGGCAGTCCCCTCCCTCCAAGCTGCTTTCGTACTTCCTACTCCATAATTTGTTGGATATTCATCGAACCTCCACGTTGTCACGGAACAGCGAAAGGAGGGTGCCCACAGCATATTTTAACTCCTGTCCTCCTGGAACTGATGGCTGTTAAGCAAAATGATATCCTCTACCCAAGTTCTCAGCCTTGCCTGTTCTCTTCCCATTTCCCTGTGCGTCCATCGGTTCTGCAGCCAGCCAGCCGAGGTTGAGCAGCAGGAACGGAGAAGGCACGTGGGAAAACAGAAACTGACCTGGGCCTCCGCAATGACCTTGTCTAAGACTCCGTCCTCTGGGCCCCCCTACAAAGCAGGGATTGGGCCGAGGTCCTGCCCCGCAGGCGGTCCTCGATGACCCGCCCGTCCCCCTCGCCCAGGGCCCCCACCGGGCCAACAGCTGCGGGCTTCTCCGCCCCTGGACCCCCTGGACACCGCTGGCCGCCCTGCCCCGCACTCCCAGGCCGCGCGCCGGCCCACGCACCGCCGCCTTTGCAATGGGTTGCAAGACCATGGAGCCCCCGCCGGGCCGGGAGCCAAGCCCGGGCCTTCGCAAGCCGGCGGGGGAGCAAGCAGCGGCGCGGGAGGGCCCGGGCCTGCGCAGCTCCGGCGCCCCCAGGCCAACGGGACACCTCGGCGAGGGCCCCAGGTCGAACTCCCAGGGCGAGCGCGGCCATTGTGCTCAACGGCCTGGGCCTCAAGGCCTGGTGGGCAGAGGCTACGAGGAGACGCGCCGAGTGCACCCCCGCCCCTCAGACAGTGTGTTTTCATGCGGTGCAACAAATAATGAAAAATGCTTGGTTTCTTCCCCCACATGCGAGAACCAGAAAGACCGAGAGTCGGAGGAGGGAGGTGGCAGCCGCGAGCCTCCGCGCGCGCCCGGTCACGTGGCCCGCGCTGACCGCATGGCGGCGGCCGGCGCGCCCCCGCGACTCCGCCGGCCGAGCGTCCCGGGCGCGCGCGCCGACGGGGCGGGCGCATGCGCATGGGGGCGCGCCGCCTCTGCCCCGCGGCGAGGGTGTCTATGGAGAGGCGGCGGCCGCGGCTGCGGAGGCAGAGGCTGAGGCAGTGGCGATGGCGCCGTTCCCTGACGAGGTGGACGTCTTTACCGCCCCGCACTGGCGGATGAAGCAGCTCGTGGGGCTCTACTGCGACAAGGTAACCGAGCGCTGGGCCTCCTGCTCCGGGCGGCGCGGGAGGCGGGAGGAGCGGGCCGGGGCCCCGGGGCGGCCTGGCCTGCGCGGCTCCCGCAGCCCCCTGGGCCGCCGCCGCTCGCGCAGCTGTCAGCGCTCTCCGCACCGTCCCCAGGGAGCCGGGCCGCGGCCTCGGACGTGCTTTCGGGGCGGGCGGCGCGGCCCCGGCCCGGCCGCGTCCTCGCGCCCGGGGGCCTGGCGGGCTGAGGGGAGGGGGCGCTGCCCGGGCCCGCGCCCCCCGCCGGCCGCGGGGTCAGCCCGAACGCCGCGCCGGGCCTCCCGCAGCTGCCCCCGGGGGCCAGGGGCCCTCGGGGACTCGGGCCGGCCACCTGCGGCGGGCTCCCCGTTGCTCCAGGCGGCCTCGCCCCCCGGGTCGGTTTCGGGGTTCCCCGGCGCTCTTCGTAAACCCCGTCGCTTGCGTCCTGGTTCGGTTCGGGCGGCGGCGTCTCCCAGGTTCCCGCTGCTCAGTTTGTCCTGCTAGTTTCTCCGCCGGCTGATTTGGGAGGTTGAAGAACTTGGGAGCCTTCGCTTCTCATTTATGGCCATCTTTCTGCCTCCCAAATTGTATTGCTCAGAGCGTTCACTCGAGGTAGATTTTGTTGAGAGGGACCCCGGGGAAAGTTGGTTTAACCCATTGTGAGACACTGTTTTGGACTCTCTACTGCTGCAGCTTAGGCTGGAGAACCAGTTCTGTGCAGAAAGTTCAGGGCCTTCGGCTCCCGAGCTAAGGAAAATGTAACCGTTTCCACCTCTGTTGGGGGAGATCTCGTGCAAGCCCTGAAAACTTCACGCAGTCCTCAGTCCTGTTACTTGTCGAAGTGAGCCACATGAAAGGCATTTAAATGATTGCTGTTGAAACAGAGAGATCAACGTTGACGAATTTTCAGGAATTACCTACCATTAAGGAGAACGCCTTCGACAGAAATCAGGGGTGTCTTGCAACCCGGAGAGGTTTTCGGAGGATTTCCGCTGAGTTGGATGCTAGGCCACACTCAGGACCAGCCGCTTCAAGCGCTGAGATTGAATTTCAGGTTTTAGCACCCCTGCCCCACAACCATCCTCTCCCTCCCTACATTTTGAAAATTATATGATACTATATTCAGATGTAGTTTTAAACACTAGGGCTATTTAGCCCACTGGTTCTCAACCTTGGTTGATTCTTAGAATTACTCCAAAAGCTGTGAAAACTCCTGGTACTCAAACCACTAAAATTAAGACCTTGAGATTGGAACCAGACATGGAGTTCCTGATTTAAGGTTCTCCAGGTGAGTGCAGACTGTGACCAAGGGAGAGAACCCTGTATCTTGGAGAAGCCGAAGGAATGGATAAATCTTAAGCAGAACTGTGTAACCCTGAATTTTCCAGTTAGCTGTATTGTGTTTTTATCCCTTCTGGCCTTGAATTTTGTTCATTCTAACAATATCCTTTAATTGCAGAAAAGAAAAAAATAGACAGGTTTTATATTTTGTCAGACTTAAAGAGGTTAATGAGGACTTACAGAAACCAAGATTTTCTCCCAAGGTTAGACTGGGCGAGGTAGTCCAGACATCACCTGATATTATATGGAAAAGTTTATGCATGTCTACGTTTTCCTAGGGGATCTGTAGCTTTCATCAGACTCCCAAATAATTGTGACACCTCCCCCAAAATCACATTTATTTAGTTGTGTACTACATTAACTAGCCTTATTTAAGAATTTTGTGGGAGTTATTCGCTATTTTTGTGGCTCTTGGTGATGGAGAACATTTGAACAAATTTTGAAAATGCTGTTACCTTAAAAAAACTCAAAAATAAGATTTTCAGTAGTGAAATGTTTCTTCTTCCATATCTAGTTTAATAAAGCATTTGAATTTGGCATAGCTTAAGTCCAAATTATCACTAACTGAACTAATTAGATATAATTAATGAGACTGCTTCATCATGAAGATAAAAGTCCAGTTTCTTGAACTGGGACCAAGGTGATTTAACTATGTAGAAATTTTTTACCTGGATTTCTTCTCAATAGTGGTAGTCAATGAAAAGCTCTCAGAATGTCCTTTGGGACGTAGAGTGGAAAAATAAATATAAAGTGATGGTTAAACTGTTTTAAAGGAATTAAAGGAAGAGTGCCTTGTTTATTTTTATTCACTTGTCATCTCAACTTATAACATCACCATTCTTTAATTGTATAGACCAAGGCTATCCAACCCAAACAGGCAACAATGAATCTATGCAAAGTTAAAACTAGTTTTTATAAGTTAAAGTAAAAAGGCACAAATAATGTCATTTTACTGTATTCCACATTTTTACTTTAAACATCCAATAGTTATAAAGAAGTTACTTTTATTTCCAACATTGAATTTTTCAACTGCAGAATATTTTGGAAGCATCTGTGTGTTTACTAGCAACAAATCAGTCATTTAATACTTAGTTGGAATTTTTTTTTTAATTTATTTTTAAAAAAAGATTTATTAGAAAGAGATCTTCCATCTGCTGGTTCACTTGCCAGTTGGCTGCAGCATCCAATTGGGCCAGGCCAAAGCCAGCAACCAGGAACTCCATCCTTGTCTCCACTGTGGGAGGGAGGGGCAAAACACTTGGGCCATCTTCTGTCTTCCCAGGAGCATTAGTAGAGAGCTGGATCAGAAACTGAGTAGCCAGGACTTGAAATTGCACTCTGATATGGGATGTGCAAGTGGTGACTTAACCTGCTGTGCCACTATGGCAGCTCTATACTTAAAATTATTTATTTATATAGACTTTTAACTATTGCTGTATAATACCTAGTTTAATACTTTTTCCATGAATTCCTTTATATTTATAAAAGGCTTCCTGGAAAGGTTTTTCAGTTTTGTTATTCAGACTGTATCTTTTTTTTTTTTTTTTGACAGGCAGAGTGGACAGTGAGAGAGAGAGACAGAGAGAAAGGTCTTCCTTTGCCGTTGGTTCACCCTCCAATGGCCGCTTCTGCAGCCGGCGCACCGCGCTGATCCGATGGCAGGAGCCAGGATCCAGGTGCTTTTCCTGGTCTCCCATGGGGTGCAGGGCCCAAGCACCTGGGCCATCCTCCACTGCACTCCCTGGCCATAGCAGAGAGCTGGCCTGGAAGACGGGCAACCGGGACAGAATCCGGCGCCCTGACCGGGACTAGAACCTGGTGTGCCGGCGCCGCAAGGTGGAGGATTAGCCTATTGAGCCACGGCGCCGGCCTCAGACTGTATCTTTTGAGATAGGTAAGGCAGATGGGGTATTTCTATGTACAGCTGGGGATTTGTAGGCATAGATTAGCTAGGTCAATGTTACATAAAGAGGGATAGATCAGATGGAAATCCATGTGAGAATTATGGCTCCTAGCTTTATTTTCTATGTATGAAACCGTAGTAGTTTCTAATTTTTTGGGTTCACAACCTGCTAAGAAATATTTTTTTCTTTTGCTAATACACTAACCTCAAAATTAGGATGATTTTAGAGAAAGATTAGCATTCAGTGACATCCTTTTCTGGTAGTACTCCAGTTCCTCTGTCTTTTCTCTAATTCTGAAAATTTAATACCATTACTTCTCTCAATGAGAGTTTTCTTCTGTCAGTCCCACCTGTAGTAGCTCTTGTTGGCAAAGTGAGATATGGTCTCTAAAGGAGTTCACAATCTAGTATGTAATGACATTTGTGCTAGGATAGAAATCCAAATAGGTTTGTGAGAGCAAAGGGAGGTATGTGGTCAGTTTTACATTGAAGTGTCAGGAGTGGTATCTTCATCTGAGTTGATTCCTGAAGACAAAGTAAGTGATGGTTGTAAGGATAAGGTAGTCCAAAACATTCTCAGACTTATATGTAGACCAGTTAAGAAGTTAAATTGGTGGTAGCCTTAGAGAATACCCAAGTTTTCCAGTTAAATATACTAAAAATGCCATCCATTTTATTGTTTTATAAAGAAAGGCTGTTTTATGACCAAAATTCTGAGAAGGAAGTAATTCCAGAATGATTTGAATACAATGTTTTAAAAAAAGTTGAATGAACATAGCTTTGTGATCATTTTTCCTTGCCTTTCTCAGTACTCTGCTTACATGTAGAAATTTACTGACTAGTTGTGAAGACTGGTGTGATAGAATATTGAATTGAGAGCCAAGAGAAGAAGGAAAGGGGAATTTAATGAGTTCTTTCTATGTGCTTATATTTTAATCCTTACAAAAACTCCTAAGTATTATACTTCATTTAAAAATGAGGAAACAGTCCTAGTGGCTAAATGACTTATCCAACTCATTCATCGAATAATTAGTGGAGCCTGAATTTTAATAGTAAGAATTTTATTTTACTCTACTGAAGTGCATATTTTTTTGCATTACCTCAGTGATTCTGCTACATACTACTAGCTTTTTGATCTTGTGCAAAACAGTTTACGTGTGAGTCATCAGTTTTCCATCTATGAAAGTAAATTTCACTAGATAGTGCTAAAGTTTCTTTTTAACATAACCTTTTATATTTCGTTTTTTATACAAAACTATACAGCTTTATAGTTGCAGACTTCATACACTTCATAATTACAACTTTAGGACATGATGATTCTTCTACCCCTACTCCCACCCCTCTACCTCCTCTCTCTCTTATTCCCACTCTTATTTTTTACAAAGATCTATTTTCAAGTGACTTTTTTGTTTTTATATTAAACTTTTTTTAAATTTATTTTTTAAGGAATAAAAATTTCATGAGTACAACTTTAGGAATATAGTTATTCTTCTCACCATACCTGCCCTCCCACTCACACTGCCAACCCCCCTCCCCTTGCCAGCCCCATTCTCCATTAAGATTCATTTTCAGTTAACTTTGTACATAGAAGACCAATTCTACACTAAGTAAAGATTTCAACAATTTGTGCACAGATACACACACAAAACTGAGAACTAGTTTTACAGTTAACTCTCATCATACAACTCATTGAGGACAGAGGTCCTGCATGGGCAGTTAGTGAACAGTGACTCCTGTTAATTTA